TATATATATATATATATATATATATTTGTGTATGGGTGTGGGGTTGTGTGTGTCTACGTGCGTGCGTCGATGGAGATGTGTGCCTGTGTGTAAAATAATATGGGTCTTATGGGAGCTGCCGCCCTCACATCCCGGCACACGTCAATTCTAGGCTGTCAAAAACTCTAACAGAATGCACAAGTGAACTCAAATACCAAAATAAAAGTTCTATATTTTACATCATTGTAAAATTTACCTAGAATGTAATAAAACCCGGGTTCATCCATTGCAGTTATGTATTCTTGATCTTACGGGATAAGTTTCTGAAGATCTAGTTTTGTAACATCAAGCGTGATTTCTTTTCTTATTCTGGATAAAAATACCAAAATTAACATAAGAAGCAAATGAATTTTATGCTTGTATCTCATTTCATTTCTTCCTCACGTATTGAATCAATTTACAAAATACTTTTCACTTTGATTTACAGTAACTATTATTAGTCTGCTCCAGGATGCATCCAGCCAATGGAATCTTCAACATTGCTCAAATTAACAGGTATTTTTAGTTTTTTTCCCAAGCTGTTATACAATTTTTGCAGAAGCTAAACTGTACACATTTTCAATAACTTATATCATGCAGTTCCACATTAGGGCTTCCTAAGACAATTTCCAAAGAACATCTTAAAGTCCGAGAAAGAAATAAAGTTCCATGTAAGGTGCACCCTACATTTCAGTACAAACACAGCTCCCAGGAAGTATACCGAGACTTACAACCATGGGAGGACACCTTTTAGATCCTGAAAATTCTTCCAGTGGCATATGGTTCCTGCTTTTTCAATAGGGATCTGATAAAACCAAAAAAAAAAAAAAAAGTTTTCTTTTTATGGATCAATTCCTCCACATACATGACAAGCAAAAGTAGTCTCATAAATAACCTGAGAACAGAACTCAAATGAATATATTAGCATAAGTATTGACAATGAAAGTTGCAGTATATGGTTCGCAGATACCTAAAGCAAAAAGAGCACAATCTCTTTTCTAAATGGAGAGAAGATTAGATTGAACTGTTATTTTTGTTTCCAAGGTTCTAGATGCCAAAATACTGCATTATAAAGATTACCCAAGTGAAACTCCATCACCATGAAAGAGGTTGAGCCGTTCCAGAGCATTCAGATTGAAGGATGTTGAAATACTAGCCTTCAGATGTAATAGTGAGCCAACCGAACCAGAGAGACCTATCATAGAGACAGCTTTGGCAGAAGCTCAAATTTGTGAGGTAGGAGATATCAATGATTTTATCCTCTATTTTAAGCCTATACCTTTTAACTAATCTGTGCCCCATAAAATTAATGAGCAGGACATGTATCATTCTCTGATCCACAACAATAGCAACCTCGATTCCTCTAGGACTTCCTTTCCTTCAGAAAGGCATTTGTTTATGCAAGCAGCAAGGGGTTCGGGAGAACCGGGACTGGTTCTCTCTACTGATGCCAAGCCTAGACTAAAATGGACTCCTGAGCTCCATTCGAGATTTGTAGAGGCAGTGAAGCAACTTGGAGGAGCTGAAAGTGAGTACATGGGACAGAAAATCAGATTATATCTATCAAAGTAAAAAATCTCATTTAGTTAACTAATAAAAGATTTCCATCTAATAGAAGCCACACCAAAAACAGTCATGAGGCTCATGGGAATCCCAGGAGTAACTTTGTACCACCTTAAAAGCCACCTTCAGGTAACTAATAGATTATTGGATCAGTACCAGTTGCCTCACAACATTAAATTCATGCCTTGGTTTTACAGAAGTACAGACTCAGTAAGAACATATTAGCTCAAAGTAATGGTGGGACTGAAAATAATGGTAGTGATGGCTTGATAAAATGATGTTCCTATTCTAAAGCTAGCAGTTCATGGTTGAATTCAATGTAGAGTTGTTTTACAGTGAAAATCCCTACAGCAGCATTGGACAAAACCTCATTAGAAGGCAATGGATCATTAGTTAATAATATCAACTTTGGGCCCCATAAATATAAGTAAGAACCTCAAAAAAGAGTACATTTAGCATCCATAGATTTACAGATTTTCCTTTAATAACTTTTTTTTTTTAATCTCAGAACGATGCAGATAAGTGAAGCACTGCAGATACAAATGGAGGTTCAGC